CTATTTTACGGAAGCTAGCCCCTACATGAACAACAAGCATCTTCAAGAAAGTACTGCTTTTTGCTCAGTCTGATTACTAAGGATAATGCGTGCTTGTGAGACCCAGATATGTTCAAAGGCTTAATTTAATATATTTAATTCGCATATAAGCGTAGAATATCCTAGTAAAATTTTAGTCTCCTGGCTTGACTTATTGGCAAAAACACTTTTCGCTACAAATATCATTGAGGGGCCCGAACGCGCGACACAGACATGTGTCAAAGCTTGCATTAAACTTACGTGCCCGCCTGTAGAAAACAAATATTTGCGTGAAATTAAAGTGCTGTAAGTAAGCTTGGTTCTCGAGTCGGCTTTTTACTAGCAATATGTAAGTACGTGTGGCGTAGAGTCTGTAATAGCTGAATTTGAAATTCTTAATTCACACAACGGCATAGGACATCGCCGTGAATTTTTGGCTTTCTGTCCTTTTCCGCGAAAAAATTTGCATCTTTTGTTTTTATCGTCCTTAGCGAGATCCAAGCATGCATGAATGATAATTTTAAAAAGAGAGGGTCGTACGTGAGTTTGCTTACACTCTTTTTGACTAAAATAGTGTCACAACCATACCAGACTGTTTGAGGATTCCTATGTTGATATTGTGAATGCACAAAGTGATCGTAGCGCTTGTTCATTGACTCACTCCAGTCTGTTTTGTTATTATTGCCTAAAAGTTGACCCAGGACTGAGTTTTTAAAAACCGTTTGACTGGGACTTCGCCGACTGGAACCTCGTTTGAGAATTTTCGCAAATGAAGATGCTGATTCGCAGAGTTGCGCATATGTGATTAAGCAAAACTCGAAATATTTGCAGTCTTAAGTGATATCCCGATTCCTCCTGCACTGGAACCACTGCAGTTCATGGTCGGCCAGTGGCATTCAATCGCATCGAAAGGTCTTCGATACCCGACGGACATGAATTCAAGTGGCTATGAAGAATTATTAGATGTTATGCCTGCCCAAGTACCAATGTTTGGAACTCCATCGCTTAATTTTACGCAAGTTTTCCAGTCTTTATTCGTGACAGGATTTTCAAAGTCGGGATATCTCGGAAAATTTTCATAGATTCCTACAATTTTTATGCATTTTTGCGCATGCACGAATTTGTTCATTGAGTTCTCAGAGGCAGCCTTTTTTAAAACCTTAGCTGAAGCGCACCAAAGAAGCTGGTGCGATCATTCGTTTTTATGCGTTTTTGCCGTGCAGCGCTAGAGCGCTGCAACAGGCAGCAAAAACGCAT